TGTCCTCACCTAACCGTCTCCTGGAGAGACAGACGGCAAACGCTAAGCAGCCGGTCCACAGGCTAAGCAGGCTGCCTCCACTGGTCTTGGGCCAGGTCACCACACTCCGTTCTGGACTGTGGGAACTAGGCATTGGGGTAGCCAGTGCTCCTTGAGGTGTGACTGCTGAGCTGAGAGCCAGCGGAGAAGGCAGCAGCCAAGCATTGGGCCAGGGGAAGAAGACCCATGGCAGACAGTGCCCAGTATGTGAACGAGAGCTAAAGCCAGGAGGTGCCAAACCTGGGCAGCTGAGACCAGATCTGCAAACACTGCCCTAGCACGTGCACTGGACTAGTCTTAAAATCCCAGCACTGGGGCTCAGAGGCAGGAGTATACAGAGAGCAAGGCCAGCCTCAGTTACATGTGAAGTTCAAGGCTAGCCTGGGCTGCATGAGACCCTGTCTTGAAAAAAACAGCAACAAAAGGTGCCACTAGTTTCTCTCACAGGCCTCTTCCCAACATCAGCCCTGGGCACATTCCAACACTCAGGAAGCAGGGGAGGAGGCTGGGCAACAAAGGAAGGAAGGGAAGAAAGAGGGTAGGGGTAAATATACAGCAAGGGAAGGGGTGGTAAATCTGCTCCTAGTATCCCAAAGAATCCCCTCAGTCCAGAAGAAACTATGCTTCCCAAAGGTCAGGAGTTGTATGGCTCACAGGAGGAGCCAGGAGTATTTCCAGGCACATCTGACTGGCACTTCCGGTTTCTTTCTGCACACGTTTTTATTTCTTAACATAATGTATTTAATGCAGGTTATTATAGGGGTATGTGTCTGTCCAGTTGCTTTTTTTTGGTAGAGGCTTTTTTTAAGATTTTATTTTTTTTTTTTTTTTTTTTTTTTTTGGTTTTTCGAGACAGGGTTTCTCTGTGTAGCTTTGCGCCTTTCCTGGAACTCGCTTTGGAGACCAGGCTGGCCTCGAACTCACAGAGATCCGCCTGGCTCTGCCTCCCGAGTGCTGGGATTAAAGGCGTGCGCCACCACCGCCCGGCTTAAGATTTTATTTTATTAATTGTGTGTGTATGTGTATCTATGTGTGGGTACATGCATGTGTGTGTGTGTGTGTGTGTGTGTGTGTGTGTATGTATGTATATCTGTGTGTGGGTACATGCATGTGTGTGTGTGTATGTATATCTGTGTGTGGGTATGTGTGTGTGTGTGTGTGTGTGTGTGTGTGTGTGTGTGTGTGTGTATCTGTGTGTGGGTACATGCATGTGTGTGATGTGTGTATGTATATCTGTGTGTGGGTACATGCATGTGTGTGTGTATGTATATCTGTGTGTGGGTATGTGTGTATGTGTGTGTGTGTGTGTGTGTGTGTGTGTGTGTGTGTGTGTATCTGTGTGTGGGTACGTGTGTGTGTGTGTGTGTGTGTGTGTGTGTGTGTGTGTGGGTACATGCATGTGTGTGATGTGTGTGGTGGGAAGGTGGGAGGGCTTGCCTGCAGAGACCAGAAGAGAATATTAGATCCCCTAAGGCTGCTGTTACAGGCAGCTCTGAGCCACCTGGTGTGGGTGCTGGGAACGGAAGTTGAGTCCTCTGTAAGAAACACTAAGCCATCTCTAAGCCACTGGTTACCTTTATGAGAGGAAGTCTTGCTATGTAGTGTAGACAGGCCTTGAACTCTCCACAGTTCTGCCTCAGCCTCCTAAGTGCTGATATTAGAGCCATGCATTACCACACCTGGCTATAACATTATATTACCAAAATTCATGTAAAACAGGTTTCTCATGTAGCATAGTGACTAGACCCAATTTATCGGCTGACAGACTCAGCCTTGCCAGGTCCAAGTCCTAAAAATGGATCATTTATTATAAGTTAATATTGATTAACATTTTACAGTTGGCCTAGTTTGCTTGTTTCTGTGACAAAATGCTGACCAAAAGCAACTCGGGAAGGAAAGGATTTATTTCAGCTTATACCTCTCAGGTCAACACCCCATCCCCGAGGGAAGTCAGGGCAGGAACCTGGCGGCAGGAATTGGAGCAGAGGCCATGAAGGAACACTGCTAACTGGTTTGCTCCTCATGTCGTGCTAAGCCTGCTTTCTACAACCAAGGACCACCTGCCTCGGGGTGGCACCGGCCACAGTGAGCTCCCTCACCAATCATCAATCAAGAAAATGCCCCACAGACATGCTCATGGGGCAATCTGATGGGGGCATCTTCTCAATCAAAGTTCGCTCTTTCCAGATGCCACTTGTTTGTATCCAGTTGACAAAAGCTAACCAGCACCGTGACAATCTCTACGCGATCTTCTACCACTACAATATAAAATTTCAAATGCCCAACTATAGGACAAAAATGAATGATGCAATGAAATATAATAGAAGGCTGTTTAGCAATAATGGTTGACACTTGGAGAAACAATATTAACTAATACTAATTCATAGTAAACTGAAAGGCAGGACGTAAGAGTACATACACACTGGTTACAACTGTTTTGGGTGTTATGCATGTTGTACATTCCGTGTGTGGTGTGTGTGTGGTACATATATGTGAATGTCAGTGCATGTGTTCATGTATATGCATATGGAAGCCGCAGCAGGACAGTACGGTCTTCCTCTATTACTCTCTGCCATAATGCCTTGACCAGGGCCTGTCGCTGAGCAGGAAGATCATCATTTTGGCAAGGCTGCCTGGCCAATGAGTTCACAGGCTCTGCCTACATCTGCACCCCAACGTGGGGTTATAGACATGCATAGCCAGGCCCAGCTTTTGTATGTGGGTATTAGATATTCAAAGACAGATCTTCAGGCCAACTCCCAGACCTATACACTGGGTACAACTTTACAACAAACCATAGATTTTTTTTTTTGAACAATGATAAAAAAAATAGAGTAAAAAGCAGTTAAGGAAAATGACTTTTATTAAGGTCGTTTTCACCTACACTTGTTAGTGCTCAATAACGAATATATAAGCCACCTTTCCAAATGATAGCAATTCAAGAATAAATGTCTTCAAGTGTGGGATTTCTTGAACTCTATTTAGAATGCATGCTCAAATTCTTTTTATTATTTGGAATTTTTAGAATACAGATATCAGGAGAGTTTTTTTTTTTAAATCTTCATTCACTTTAAAGACTTGAGTATTTTAGTGCTGACCAAATAGCAAACGATACCGCAAAGGTCATTCCTCTAGCCAAATACAAACACAGAACACCATCCATCCAAAAATTTCCTGCAGCAACTAATCCCAGACAGCGGCCGCAAAACACACCTCAGCTATGAGCCGTGGCCTCATCCACCACCTCCTTCCCTCCTGTCCTGCTGTCCAACATATTGAACACTACACTGACAACTTACTCCTTCCAATATTTTAAAGGTGTTTCGCTAAATGTAACGAATGATGGAGTTACAAAATGTTGCCTATGTGAATTGAGGAGCTGAAAACATGTTGGATGGAGGTCAAGATTCTCAAAGCAGTGTAGAGACCCATGACTCTGACACATCTATTCTACATCGCGCTGTTTCGCCATGTCCTGGAAGTGGCTTCCCATAACCTACCCTGAGGACTCTTGGGGTTAGAAAGAGTCAGTAGAACGCTTGTTCTGCAAGCACGAGGACCTGAGTTTGGTCCCAATGCTGACGCAGTGGCATGTGCCGGGAAAGGAAGGACAGGAGGGTGCCTGGCCCTCACTGACCAGCCACTCTAGCCTAATTGGGTAGCTCCAGGTTCGGCGAGAGACACAGTCTCAAAGGAGACAAGAGTTCTTGAGGGTGCCACCAAGGTTGTCTTTTAGCCTCCACCCACCCACCCACACATAAAACAAATCAATTTTAAAAATGACTCTGGAAAGAATTAAACCCTGTATCAGGAGATAGGAAAGAAAAGGAAGAAAAAAAGCTACCATGTGTAATACGCTTTTAAATACTCTTCAGTGGAAGTCGATTTCCTAAACTCTCTTTTGAACTTGGCAGTGACACAGACTTCACTGCTATTTATCTGTTTCTTGTCATCTTCTCCTAATCAAACTCCCACACCAGGTAAAAACAAAAGACAAAGACGCAGATCGTTTGCATCACCATTGGACACTGGACAGTGGTTCATTTTGGAACATTAATTTCAGCTCTACCACAGCAAAAGAAGGACAAAGTCATCAGTCAATGTCTGCAATATTAAGAAAATTAACGTTTGTGGGCTAAAGAGACAATGTAGCAAATCTCAGAAACAAAATTATGACACTGTCCAACCAAACTATCCTAACAATAAAAAGGTATATATTTGTGGTTAATGCATGTGGTTTGCTTGGGACAAAGAAGAACAAAGAATGTGTGTGGGAGTTTGAGAGCTGGGCAATAGGTACAGTGAATTCATTATATCATTTCCTCCACTTTTTTATCCATAGTGAACAGGTGTGTGTGTGTGTGTGTGTGTGTGTGTGTGTGTGTGTGTGTGTGTGTGTGTATACACGTGTACACACCTGTGCACATGCTTGTAGAAACCAGAGGAGGGTGTCAGGTGTCCTCCTCCATCATTATCCACCTTATATTTTGAACTGCTCCTGATGCTCATCATTCCAACTAATCCAACCAGCCATCTATCACCCAGGATCCACCTATCTCCAGCCCTCAATGATGGAGTTATAGGCATACATGGCCATGACCAGCTCTTGTGTGGGTGTTGAGGATCTGAACTCAGGTCTTCTTCCTTACAAACCAAGCACTCTTTCCCACTAAGCCATCTCCTTAGCCCTAAACAGATTTTTTTCAATTGTATCTTCAGAATGAATTTAATTCTGGAACAAGAAATATATGTATAACTCTAGATTTATACAGAGCTTAGAGAAAATCATAAACCATCAAGATTATCATCTTTTATCATCATCATTATTACAGGAATATTTACTTCTAAAGTATCTACTGTCAACTTATTTTTTAATGAACAAGGCCATTTAAGAATTTCAACAGTTTACTTAAATGTACTTCATATTTTATGAAGAATAATGTCATATGATCTGTACATACCAGGAGTATCATAGGCCTTTTCCAAGTTGTCAATCCAATGATTCCAGAGAGTATCACCTGTGAGGATAAATACATCATCAGCCCAGAAAATGCTGGTTAAAGATTTCCCATTCTTGTTGATTATATAAGCCACAGCAAATCACTCTGGACTGTCTTATAGATCTACAAAGTATGTTTACTGGCTGTGATGGTTTGAAAAAAAATAGTCCCCAAAGGGCACTATTAGGAGGTGTGGCTTTGATGTAGTAGGGATGGCCTTGTTGGAGGAAGTGTGTCATTGTGGAGGCAGGCTTTGAGGTCTCATATATATACTCAAGCCACGCCCAGTGTCTCACACCACTTCCTGTTGCCTGTGAGTCAAGATGTAAGAACTCTCCGCTCCTTCTCTAGTCTTGTCTACCTGCATGCTGCCATGTCCTACCATGACAATAATGGACTAAACCTCTGAACTGTGAGCGAGCCACCACAGTTAAATGCTTTTCTTTTATAAGAGTTACTGTGGTCATGGTGTGTAGCAGGAATCTTAAAAGTTCTTTAAAAAAAAAACCTGGGGCCAGGTATTGGGGTGAATGCTGGAAGATCAGAGAAGCCGAATAAGCCACAGCTAACCTCACCTCACTAGTTCCTCAGCTGATCCTGTTTCTTCAGACTGGAAGCCTCTGAGTCTTCATCCTAATGGGTTTCAGCTGAACTGTGCTGCTCAAAAGCCTAAAAGCTTAACCAGCCAAATGCTGCTAGTTTCTGGACTTCACACCTTATATACCTTTCTGCTTTCTGTCATCACTCCCTGGGATTAAAGGCTCGCTTTCTGGGATTAAAGGCGTGAGTCACCATGCCTGGCTATTTCCAGTGTGGCCTTGAACTCACAGAGATCCATGCCTCCAGAAGGCCAGGATTAAAGGTGTGAGTGCCACCATTTTCTAGCCTCTGTATCTAGTGGCTGTTCCGTTCTCTGACCCCAGATAAGTTTATTACGGCGCATAATATTTTGGGAAACACAATACCACCACAATGGTGTCCCCTCATGGCAATAGAAACCCTAAGACACAGACTGTGTGTGCTTTCTAATTGTGTGAGTAAAAATCCGTATCTCGGACCAAGTTCCATATACCCAGTCTGCTGTCAGAGTCAACGTACACAAGTATCTGCATGGGACAGGCTAACTCCTAAACAGCAGACAAAACCCTTGAGGGTATCTCCTAGCCCAAGTTTAAAGCCTCGGTTTCACATTCCCCAGACCCCCTCACTACATTTCCCTTCCAAGCACCCCTGCCCTTCCTTGGTCATCCAGGCTAGACATTCCTGGATTCGTGCTATGCCTTCTTTCCTGCAGTACCCATTCCTCCTGATGACCCTCCTAGCTGCCTGGGAACTCATAGCCATCCGACAAACCCCTGCTTGTCACCTCCTCTGAGAAGCCTTCAGTAATCTCATCACCCCACACGCCTGTCTTGTACATATCAACTTTTTTCCCTTAAAAAAAAATCCCGCCGGGCGGTGGTGGCGCACACCTTTAATCCCAGCACTCGGGAGGCAGAGGCAGGTGGATCTTTGTGAGTTCGAGGCCAGCCTGGTCTACAGAGCGAGATCCAGGAAAAGGCGCAAAGCTACACAGAGAAACCCTGTCTCAAAAAACCAAAAAAAAAAAAAAAAAAAAAAAAAAAATCCCGATTATGGGCTAGAAAGATATCTCAGCAATTAAGAGCACTTGCTACTCTTGCAGAGAACTGGAGTTCAGTTTCCTGCACCCATATCAGGCAATGTGGCACCCACATGCACACACAATGACAGACAGACACACAGAGACACATACATGTCTTTTTCTTCTTCTTCTTTTTAAGAAAACTCTGGTCATCATTTGAGAGGTGCATCTCTGCACCTCTACCATGAGCTCCTGTCCTGTCTCTGAATCCCTGGCTCCTAGGGTAGTGCTTGTTACATGATTATCAACAAATGCCTATCCCTGAGCATTTACTCCACAAAGAGGAACTATGGAGAGAAAGCTCTTGTATTGCACAACAACGCTTCAATAAAAAACACACTAAAATTCTTGGACAAGAAGAAGCAGAATGTTGCCAAAACACAGACTGGAAACCGCCACAGCCTTTTGGATGGCACAGTTCACTAAGTCACTGGAAGAATCAAAGTAATCCTCGGGACACCCTGAGGCCTCCTGAGTACGCTTGCCCTGTATGCTACAGGGTGTGTCCACCAAGTGCAGCTATGAGGAGTTTCTTCATGGAACATCTCCCTTGCCCCAGTCCCTCCCATGCACACATCCACAATTGCTGTTTATTAACTACACATCAGGCAAGAGTGTTCAGATCAAACACACAGGTTCACCTACAATACCCCATCTCAAGACTGAAGCAGCCATAGCGCCACAGCAGTGAGGGAGACCACCTCCCTCTTATTCCCCCAGGGTACTCTCGAGCAGTGAGAAATGAGGAATTTGTAGATAGAAGGACAGAGGAAGAGACAGAAAACACAGGACAGCCTCAGGAGGGCCTGGGTCCAAACCCACCAGCCCTTCTGTCTCTACTAAAGGGCTTTTTAAAGGAATGCCAAGGGGCAGAGCAAAAGACCTCCCCCCGGCACAGTCAAGTGCAGACCATCCCAGACACCTGGTGACCATGAACATGGTCCAGCCATCCCCTAATGCAGCCCTGCTGGGTAAAAACCTTTGTGGACTCCCACACACCAGCAGGGGACAAAATGCACTCATATAACCTTGACCCAGAAGCCCATATGTGCAGGCAGGTAATGGTTTCCTTCTAACCCATTCTATCCTGGAAGTTTCATGAATTTCAATAGGATTCCCCTTGCCTTCATTCCTACTGTGTGGGCTGTGTTGAGTCTCTGCATTAGAACAGGAGCTCCTGAAACCCAGGGCTCTCGCCTCCTGCTCAGATTCAAAAGAGTCAGCCATGTGACCTTGGCTAAGTCTCCTCATTGTCTCCAGCCCTGACTCTGGTCTCCTGTGAGATGTTAAGCGAAAGAAATCACCTCTGGGTCTCTTCCAGCGCAAAAGATTAACACTGAGCTGGATGTAGTGGTACATACATATAATACTTAGGATGCTGAGGCAGGAGGATCACAAATTCGAAGTCAGCCTGTTCACACACACACACACACACACACACACACACACACACACACACACGACAGATTCCTCAGAAAACCTGATATCCAGTGAGTGTATGAGCACACACCCATGTGCCCATGAACACATGTTGTTGTGTGTGCATGTGCATGCATCTGCTGCGTGGGCACACTTGTTCATGCACGCACACATTCAGACATCTGCATGTATGTCCTTGTGTGTGTGTCTCTGCCTCCTCACCCTGCTTGGACTTTGCTGAGGAAATGCAAACTCTTTTTGTGTGAAAACATGACTGAAGACTTCCCTGCCCTTGAGGAAACCGCAAACCGCCCACTTCAGTACAAAATAACTATGATTTGAATTATTCATCGATGTTTGTTATTTGTGTCACCATCTCATAATACCCTGCGGTCCAGCTTTCAGGAACATTCTCTTTTTTCCCATTAAAACAGTATTATTAAGATGAAGTGTCCAGCTCAGGACATAAAAGCCTATAAAACAATTATGTGTCTGAGCTACACTTTCCATTTCTGTAACAGTCTCAACGTCCCACCTCCTCCATGCTCACAAGTTAGTACATTAAATGTATTTTATATAAGTACAAATCCCTAAATTCTTACTGCTATATGCCAACGGCATGTGTGTATATAGATACATATGCACAAGGGTGTGATTTCCACAAAATCATCACGACAGATTTGCATTGTTTGTTTGTTTGTTTGTTTTTTGAGACAGGGTTTCTGTGTGTAGCCCTGGCTGTCCGGGAACTCACGCTCTAGACCAGGCTGGCCTCGAACTCACATAGCTCCACCTGCCTTTGCCTTCTGAGTACTGGGATTAAAGGCATGCACCACCACTGCCTGGTTTAGATTTGATTTTTCTGATCTCAGAAAGTACTTCATTGGAATCTTGCCAAGTCCGCTGAAATAGCTGTAATTCATTTCAGAATGATAGCTTTATAGCCTTCCATCGTGCACCAGTGTCTAATGTATTCAATCATTTCCACATTTGTGGGCATTCACTCTAGTCCCAGCTTTTTATTCTTGTAAACAATACAGCAACAAACATTCATGTGTTTTGTGAGTATATATTTAAAGACACACGCTTTTATTCCTGTTGGACAAAGTCTCAAGAAAGGGGTGGCTACGTGGAACGTTATTTTTATTTTTTAATTCTCATAGATCCTCATAGATAGATGTCTTTTCCAATGAAGGCTTTCTGAGACAAAGAACCACGCTGCCTTTCTGCCTTTGGAAGTGGTGTTTTGTCTATATAGTAGCCACTGCAGGAAAAATATGAATAAAACACCTGGTATGTAAGGAACATCAACAACCTCACAATGTATTTGGCAGAGATATTAAGATATATTTGCTGGAGAGAAAAACAAAGCTTAAAGGGCAATATTGAATACAGACCCAAATAAATCAAGACACACCCAGGCCATGGGCCAGAAGGCACTCTGTTTAAAGGCATGGCTGCCACTTGAATTCTGAAACAGATTCAGAGCACAGCTGGCAAGCTTGTGTGAACCACATTCCTTACCAGGTGGTGGAAAGTAAGTTCAGTCAGGCCTGGCAGAGTTGATTTCCATCCCCAGTACTTCAGAAGACTCAGGCCTGCGTCTCACAGGTTCAAGGCCCACCTGGGCTACAGAGTAGCTTCGAGGCCAGCTCTGCAAGGCAGTGAAGTTCTATTTCAAAATAAATAGGAAAAAGAAGGCTGGGGATACACTGAGTGGCTCAATCCCCAGTACTAGGGAGCAGAAATAAAACTGCACCCCAGTTCCAGGTGGAGGTTGCATCTGCAGTCCGTCCTGAACCTGCAACAAACCCACGCCCTGTTGACTTTCACCCAGTAGCCCTGTTCTTTTCCAACCCGGTGAATCCCAAGGCATGTGGAGAACACTGTGAGGGGGGAGGGGTGAAGGGCAAACAGGAAGCAGGAAGAGAGAGTG